TATATTATATTATATTATATTATATTATATTATATTATAATAATAATATTTTAACCAGAGGCCATTCATTAGATATCCATTCAACCCAGGAACAAAATTATATTATTCAGTGCTAGCAACGTGTTGGTGATGTGGACTCTATCATATGTTATTGAGGTAAATACAATTTGAACAACCCCTCAGGAAGATAAAGAGCCTTAAAAACCTTTATAATTTTGATTCTGCAATCTGGTCTTATGTTTCTCTCCAGAGAAAATAAATAGAAATATCCAAAGTTTATATAAAGGACTTTTAATGCATTATTATCTTAACAAAAACTCAAAACAACTTAATGTCCCTCAAAAGAGAATTGTCTAAAGTAGTAACACATCTTGGCCCTTAGGTGTGCTTAAATATCACACACACACCTCTACCTATGGTTATCCTCAGCTTGCAGGGTGCCCGTCCTTCCCGTCTGACTGTCTTCAAAACTGACCCCACACTTCCTCTACGCAGCCTGTCCACAACCTTCAGTTGGGGGTGGGCTTCTGTACTTGGTGCTCCCACAGACTCTATGTTTTCCCTCAGCATGGTCACAGGCATTGGCTGGATCCATGTCATTGTATTTTCACTAAATGCTCTGACTCATAAAAGTTAAGATATGTCTTGCTCACAATTATATACCTGATAGCTTACACAGTGTAAGGTGCTTACTCAGTTCTCAAAAACCGTACATCAAGTTTACTTGAAATTAATCAGCCAACTAATTTTCAATTCAACAGCTTAGTTAAATTGAACGGAAGGTATTTTCAAGGAGAAAAGAAAACAAGAAAAAAAAAAGAAAAAAAAAAGACCTTTTTCGAGGCGTGGAAAGACGAAGTGAAAAATCTAGGAATGTATAACTAATTAGGGGTACAACTGTGAGAGAAGCCAAACTTCCTGATGTTCAAAGTGAAAAGCTAAGGTTATATAGATATACAGCTCTATCTGTAAAACATTTTATTACTCTTCATAAATATGAAATATAATCTCTTTAACATTATAATATTCTAAGGAAAGGTTTATGGATAATTTACTTGCATATAAGTATAGCCCAATATGAAAATCATACATGCTAATGGAACTATTAATAGACGGCTGACTCACAGTCTACTCTGTCCATGATGCGGCATCTGTATAAATATGTATTATATTATTATAATTTGACCATAAACTTAGGGCAAGATTTGATTTTCTCCAAAAGCAAGCAATTGCTACTAATTGTCTGCCTGATGATCTCAGTAGGAATTTAATTTGGAATCACTGATGTTGAATGCAAACATGCTACAGGCAATACATGCTATCCTGAAAGGCACATTAAAAAATGTATTTGTGGTGTGAGGCAAGAAAATATTGATAACTTCCATCTACAATAAAACATAAAGAAAATTCCCATACATTACATGCTTTGTAGACTCAAAACACTACCAGTGCAGCAATATGCAGTAGCACAAGATTGGCACGTTAATAAAACCGAAAATTGGTGTTGGGTCACTGTTTGAAGGAAGATATGATTCTGGCACAGGCAACATGAGAAAGCTTCAGGCTAAAAACAAACAGCCACATTTCATGTTGATAATCAAAAGGAGTAATTTTCAGAGAATTGGCCTTTTTAAAGAGTAGGCCTTTCACATCCTGAAAGACTTCAAGTATTGTGCCGAACAAATAAACTTTGGCAGTTAAGAAAACAGCAGGCGGAAGGAGGAGGAGAGAGGAATACGGCATCCATAAACCATAAAGAAATGGAAACATCTCTCAGGGCATTATATGTCCCCCAAATCCTAGTGAAGCCCAAAATAAAATATTCTACAAAATTCAATGAAAAGAAATAACTTTATGGGAAAAACACATTTTTTATCTCAGCAGAGTAGTGAAAAAAATCAGAGAAACGTGAATACTGACACGATAAAATATGTCATTCGCCGGATGAAAAAGTAGCAGTGTCCCTTCAGAAAGCTTCAGGTAACAATGAGAACCGAGGAAAGTGGCAAAAATGCCCTCCTCGACAAAACTTTTGTCAGGTTTCTATAACCCTTTTTAAAAAAAAATGTTTATGTATGTATGTATGTATTTATTTATTTTTATTTTTTATATGTAATTTATTGTCAAGTTAGCTAACATACAGTGTCTACAGTGTGCTCTTGGTTTTAGGGGTAGATTGCCATGATTCATCATCACTTACCTACAACACCCAGTGCTCATCTCAACAAGTGCCCTCCTCAATGCCCATCACCCATTCCTCCCTCTCCCCAGCTAGCCCAAGCAAACCTCAGTTTGTTCTCTGTATTTAGGAGTTTCTTACGGTTTGCCTCCCTCGATTTGAAACTATTTTTTCCCCTTCTCTTCCCCCATGGTCTTCTGTTAAGTTTCTCAAGTTCCACAGATGAGTGAACACATATGATATCAGTCTTTCTCTATTTCTGAGAGAGAGAGAGAGAGAGAAAGAGAGAGAGAGAGAGAACGTGTGCACAAGCAGTGGTGGGGGGCAGAGAAAGAGGGGAACAGAGGATCAGAAGCAGACTCTGACAGCAAAGAGGCTGACAGCAGAGAGTCCAAGAGTTCATGACCTGAGCCAAAGTCGGATGTTTAACCGAGTCAACCAGGTGCCCCTCTATAAGCCTTTTTATAAGGACTAGGGTTTATCCTCAGGACCTTCCCTGATCGGCTGCGCTCTTCAGTAAAGAATCCTGAGCCAGTTTAGTGGAAATCTTTCTATCTTGGATATTTCAGTATCTTTGAAATCTGGTCAAGTTCCTTATTACCCACCCTTAATGCCCATATACGTGGCTTACTTCTATAAGAATTTTGTGGAGTTAGTTTAGCAAGAATCACATTGTAGTTGAAATGTAATCAAGTTTCTCTTAGTAATTTTCCATCCACTGACTTCCCTCATTCTGTTCAATGACTGTAAGTCTCCACCTACTTTTGTTGTCTTTGGAATTTAGTTCAATCTCTCTCCCATATTGCAACAGTCGTGACCCCTATTGCGATCAATTTAAATACAAGTCTACCTTAACATTTTTAAGTGCCAACATAATTTCTCTCTGACAAAAGGTAGAGTACATTCCCCAAAAAAGGCAATTAAAGGAAAACTTGTTTCCTTTTGTTTAAGAAGAAAGAGAAAAGCAAAGAAAGACATGAAAGAAACATGGCGGTGTTAGAATCTATTGGATTATTTTCTATAATTTTGAATGAAACAGTTTTGAACAATCAATCACACAATAAAGAAATTCACCCCAACCAGACTTTCATGCAGGGAGACAGGGAAGATTTACATCCAACTGTTTGTGTATTCACCAAGTTCTCCTTACACAAATAAGTGATCTTTGTGTTTATTGTATTTACCTATGAACAAAGTTAAACTTGTAATACTTTCGTGCACATGGTCATTTTAAGTTATGCAGAACTGGGACAGATATCATAGCATCAAATATCTGAAAAAGGAACCAGAGAGTCCTCTACAAATCTTTGTTCTACATACAAGAAATTTGACTCTTGGATATTTGGGAAGGTGGTGGCAGAGACAACCCGTAATCTTTTGCTCATTATGATCAGGTTATGAAACCACAACACTATGCCAGTTATTCTATTAATAACTAAGTACATTCTCAGAGAGTGGTTTTAATAGATCATTAATAGTGAAATTAGTGT